GTTCTTAAAGGTTTGTTTTTAAGCATGTGTCTGTGTGTAGGGGGTGGGGGAGTGTATGTTTGTGCACATGTGTGGACATCCACAGAGGTCAGAGGCATCAGATCCCTTGGAGTCACAACTGGTTAAAAGTGGTCTGACGTGGATATTGGGAACCTAACAGGTACTTTGCAAAAACAGTACAAGGCTCTCACCACCTGAGCCCTTCTAGCCTCTGCCTTGTATTTTCAGTGCCATTCTCACTTATATTTAGTGCCCCGTTTACTCAGTCTTTGCACTTTCCTTTTGTGTCTCTCACATTGTTTACGAAATGAAAGAATGAGCTGGCGAGTGTGCTCAGAGACCGTGAGCTCCTCCTGGGCTGTGCAGTGTTGCCCAGCATTCTGAGCTTTCTATCATTGGACTCTTCTGCGGAAGGTCCGCAGTAAGCACTTTTGGCTCTGCTGGTCATGTGTTTTCCATGAGATGTGGCCTGCCATTATACTCCGAATACAACTATAGAAAACAGGCAAACAAGGGAGTGTGTTTATTTTCTGATAGTTTATATTTACAGTAACTGAAATTTGAATTTTGTCTAGGTTTTCCTTTTTTTTTTTTGCCACAAAATTCATTTGATTCTCCCCCAACACATTAAAAACAGTAAAGCTGCTTTTAGCCCACAGTAGTTAAGAGCCCTAGAAGACTTCTGTTCTAAATGAACTTTGGCACCAACTAGAAAGGAAGTTGAAGGGTTGTCCTTTTCACAAAAGAGTAGAAGCAACATAAACACCTGCAGCTCCCTTGCTTTGCCACCAGTGCTGGGATTAAAGGTGTGTCTTCTTGTTGACTAAAGGAACATGATATTTTGTTTGCTCAGCATACCAGTAAGAGATGCCTACTGTATCATAAAGTCATGTTCTAGACATCAATTCTCCATGTCATATTTGTGTACCTAGAATCAACCTGCATTTTTACCTTTCACTAACATAGTGGGTACAGTTGGAGGAGCAAAGAGCTGGCCACTTTCTGCCTTCTTCCCAAACATATGAAAATGAGCCCATTTACACACGTTTGTCTGCAACACACATACATTAGCTTATTGTAGTTAGTTCTTATTGTCTTCTCTATCGAGGTAAACTAATTGTTTTTGGTGTGAGTTAGTAAATGAGACTCTTCCTGAATTTCATTTCAGATTTGTTTGTTTGTTTTGAGACAGGTGTCACTGTGTAGTCCTGGCCAGCCTGGAATTATCTACGAGAATGGTTAATTATATTCACTGTAATAAGAGACAAATGTAGTATTTTATGTTAGAGTTCTATTTATGAAGTAACAAATGTCTACAAACTTAGTGACTTAGATATCATTGTCTGACAGTTCTAGTAACAGAAGCAGAAACAAGATCCCCTTTTCAGTAAGGCTGAACTTTTTCTGGAAGATCCGAGTGGGGATCTCTTTCTCTGCCTAGTCCAATTTCCACAGGTCTCCTGGATTTCTTGGCTTCCGACTCACCCATCCATCTCTGAAAGCACCAAGAAAGCACTTGGCAGTGTCTCTGACTCTGACCCTCTTTCCTCCATGGTTATCTTCTCTGTCCTTGCTTTCTTCATATGAGGATTGATCACTGTGATTACATTGGTCCCACCAGGATAATCTCCTCCCTGAAAGGTCCTAATTTAGTCACATTTGAAAAGTTCCTCCTGGCTTACGTCACAGCCATCTGCTGATGCTCCAGCTGAATAGCACAGATCATTTTATAAAGAATGCACTTTTCGACCCGTGATTCTGGAGGCTGGGGAAGTCCATGATCAGGTGGCTGTGTATGGAGAAGTCCTCTTGATGGTAGGACCTTCTGCAGAGGTCCAAGGTGGAGCAGTACTTTGCACTGTGGGACAGAGCTTTGTCGTTCATGTCTTTCCTCTCATGGAGCCACAGCATTGACAGATGAAGGTCTTCCTTATGGCTTCATTTAACTTTAATTACGTTGCGCAGGATGTTCAGCTACTACAACTGGATTGTGTTTACATCCTCATGTAAACCCCATGAATTTCTTTCAACATGAATTTTGAAGGGCTCTGGATAACATTTGTAGGGTGGGATGCATAGTTCTGGGGATTTGAACTTGGACATTTTCTAAAGACCATCTGTCTCCCTACCCCATAACTGTGCTGCGACAACATGAATGGCCATAGACAAAGCTAAAGCTCAGAACCTAATGTTTTTGTCTTTCATCTCAGTCTCGGGTCAGGTAGATTTCTTACTTGACCATGGCTTAGGCTGAACCTGTCCCAGGACAGCATCTAGAGTAGGTTTGAGTCCTTGCCAGACTGAGTGTTATCCTCAGAACAGTTTCTACAAAGGCTATGAGTTATAGAGCCATCTTGATACCGGGCACTTTTTGGAAGCTACTGGGTTGAAAACTCCTTCATACTTTTGTTTGCACTCTCTTAGCATCAGTGATATTTAGTTTTATTGTTTTTGTTTTTGTCTTTCTTATTCCTTTTCCTCCCCTTAGTCTTTGAGATAGGGTGATACTATTTAAGCCCATGACCTCAAACTCACAATCCACCAGCCCTAATCTCTACAGTGGGTGGTGTGGTGGTTTGAATGAGGATGGCTCCCATAGGCTCATGTTTGAATGCTTGGTTTCCAATTGGTAGACTGTTTGGGAAGGATTGGGAGGTGTGACCTTGTTGGCGGAGGTGTGTCATTAGGGGTCAGCTTTTGAGGTTTCAAAAACCCACACCAGGTCCAGTCTCTCTCCCTCTGCCTCTGTCTTGCAGATAAAATATAAACTCTCAGCTACTGCTCCAGCACCCGTGCCTGCCTGCCTTCCTCCTACAATGCTTTCTGCCATGGGGGTCATGGACTAACTAACAGTCTGGAACTGTGAGCAAGCTCTCAAGTTAAATTCTTTCTTTTTAGTGTCCCTTCATAGCAATTAAACAGTGACAGCTGGAATTCAGTGGGCATCCCCACATCCAACCCTGATGTCTACCTTATCAAGTACTAGTTTAAAAGGTTTTGAGTTGTTTTGGTTTTCAGGATATATCTGAAATCACTGAGATTCTCTATCTCCCGTGTTCCAAGAATCAGGACATGCTGTAGAACAGGGGCGTTGGTTGTGTTCCCAAGGCTCAAAGGAGTTTTCAGACATGTAACTTGACTGAAGACACTCCAGAACTTCTGGTACATCCTACTAACTGGGGGAGGATGGGACAGAATACATGCAATAAATACATAAAATAAAACAGCCATCACTGAATGAATGCCTTATGAAAGGTCAAGAGCTGTGCTGTCCTTGCACACGTCACCTCCGTTGATGCTGACCACAACCCAGTGAGGCAGAAATCACCACCCTGGTTCCATAGGGTCCATTTTCAGGTGGTGGTGACAGACTCAGCACTCAAGAGATACTGTATTTGTTAAGATCTAGGGCAGAGGGTCCTCCATAAACCAGTGCATTTTGGTTTGTTTGTATTGCTATAACAGGATGCCAGAGACTGTGTAATTTATAATGAACAAAAATTTATTGACTCATGATTCTAGAGGCTGATGATAGAACTTCTGGCTTCATCACAGAATGGCAGAAGGTCCCCTGTGGACAGAAGACATGGTGACAAACTCATCCTTTTTAGCAGGAATCCATTCCCTTGATAACAGAATTAATCCATTTATGAGAGTGGAACTCTAATGAACTAATCATTCTTTTTTTTTTTAAAGATTTATTTATTTATTATGTATACAACATTCTGCCTCCATGTATGCCCACATGCCAGAAGAGGGCGCCAGATCTCATTACAGATGGTTGTGAGCCACCATGTGGTTGCTGGGAATTGAACTCATGACCTCTGGAAGAGCAGCCAGTGCTCTTAACCACTGAGCCATCTCTCCAGCCCTGAACTAATCATTCTTGAAGGTGCTGCCTCTCCAGATTGCAGCGCTGATTATTGTTAGGACTCAAACTCAGGACAAGTCTCACTCAATACCTGTGGCTCCTTCCAATGCTCCTCACTCCTCTCTCCCTCTTGGGGCTTCCGTTTCCCTTCCTCCAGCCTGAGTCTATATAACTCAGCCATTATGGCTACCCCGGTCTCTTGACCTCTTGGCCAAGGCCACCTTTTAGTTGGGAGGTCCTCTCTTGCTCTCCCTCCCCTTCTCTCCTTTCACGGTCCAGTTTAGTCTGTTGGCCATGTTCAGCCTGGACTCTTCCCTCTGCCTGCTTCTCCCTTATATCTACAATAAAAATCTTCATACTTTAGGAGTATTCATGTCCTATTCTTTTTATTTCTTTCTTACTTTTTTTCCCATTTAGTAGTGTTTTCTGACACTTGAACTTTGAAGATCAGACTCATATCATAGCAATCTAGAATCTAAACATACTCAGAAACTAAACGTAATACATAGAAGCTAGGCCACAGTGCAGAATCTGCACGGGCCTTTCCCTCAGACTCAGGGAGATCTGCCTGCTGGCCAAAGAGCAGTGTTCCAAGTCCACAGGGTTTTAGTGTCCTCCCTCCTGGGTGGGCAGAGCACGTTGGCATTTTCCTGGCAGTAGAAATCAGCTTGAGGGGAGTTGGGTAGAAAGCTGGGCATGGGTGCTGTTAGTTTCCAAGCCTGCAGCCTCTGTAGCCAGCCCTCTGCACCTTCCGTGATGCTCTAAGAACAGGGGACCCCTGACTTCCATGCCATGGGGTGCGCTGCTGTGAAAGACCCGGAGACATCGGCGAGAAAGACATTCCTTGAATCTTAAGAGTTCTGGTATGCATATGCCAAAGGCCCGTTTTGGTTTCTGCTATTTATTTCTTGTCATGGGGAGAGACTGGATGGGGATGGGACAAGGGGCCCATCTCACTTGAGAAAGTCTGGGCCTGACAGCTGAAGGGTCCCAGAGCAGCCAGTATTACCCTGCCTTTCTCTCTGTCTACTCCAGTTGTCTGCTTTTGATTGACAGAGGCATCTGGAGGCTAAAAATATCCTACTGACCGAGTGCTCTTGATTTTAACTCAAGTTGAACATGACTGCCGTCCAGAACACAGCACACGTGGGGATTATCTTCAAACAGGTCTTCAAAACCTAGGCTTCATGTCAGGACCACACCAGCCTTTGGTCATTTTCTGTCTTGGTGTCTTTTCTGGATGGTGAATGAGACCTTTGTCGCCACTCTGTTCCTTTGCCTTTTCCCTCCAGAAACAGTGGTGGAGGGGGAGGTGAGGGCCGCACTCCAGAGAGGAGTAGGGAAGGGGAGGTGGCCTGTCCATTTATAGTCCTGCTCTTAGGGACGGTGAAGGTGCTAAATAGCAGCAAGGACAAGAGGCTTGGCTCAGTGTGAGCTACCCACCCCGCGGGCCTGACAGACTCTGAAATGACAATAGGCAGCATGGAGAATGTGGAGATCTTCACTTCAGAGGGCAAAGGCAGAGGTCTGAAGGCCACGAAGGAGTTCTGGGCTGCGGATGTCGTCTTTGCCGAGCGTGCTTATTCTGCAGTGGTTTTTGACAGGTAAGTCATGCGGGGAGAGGTCTTCCCACTGCTGGTTTAACTGATGTAATCTCTCAGATTCTGGTTCCCAAAACCATCAGGGGAAGAAATAAAGTTCAAGGGGTCCTTAATTTGTAATTAAAATTTTATTACATTTATTTATGGGTGTGTGTGTCTGTGTGTGCAGAACACACACATGCCCCAGTGTGGAACATATTTAACACAGTGCAAGCTGGAAGGCCAGAGGATAATTTTCAGTGTTGGTTTTCTCCTACCATGTAGGCTCCAGGGACTGAACTCAGGTGGTTAGGTTTGTTTGCAAGCACCTTTGCCAAGTGAGCCATTTTGCTGGCCCTTCAAATTGCACTTCTTATAACTCTCTGTTGGCATTTCTTTTCTGCAAGGAGTCCTTGTTTCTAACTCTATATGGCTCCTGTCCTAGTGGCAAAGCTGAGCAGGGCCCTCTAGACACTTTATCCTAATCACAGAGAATGTGGTTGAGAGGCTGTGCTGGGGTTGAATGGGTGCGTGTGGCACAGTGGGAAACATTTTCTTACAAAAAACTCTTTAGTTTCTTTGGATATTTAAAAGAGGCTAAATGTCTGTATAAACCTGTTAGAATATAAAACATTTGTTGAAACTAGGAAATTAGTTCTAACTATAAGTAACATAAGAATCCATTTACTTCCAAATATTGGAGTCTTGCCCAATGTCTACCTCAGGGGTAGCTTGTACTTTCCTTTAAATCAACTTTTTCCAGAACATTCTTATGTTATTTCATACATTGATTTATACTGAACAAGTTGGATAGCCACAGTTTCATTGCATTTTTTTTTTTGGAGGAGATTGGTTTTATAGAAATGATATCATGCTTCAAGTTCAGATTAGAGCTTGCTTTTTGTTTCTTTAAACAATGTTTCTGGGTCTATCCTTGTGAGGAGAGTAAGTCTGCAAATACCTCATTTGTTTTTATTACTTTAAAAACTGTGTGTGTGTCCCTGCATGTAAGCGTACATGTGCCACTGTGTACCCGTGAAGGTTAGAGAACAACTTTCTGAAGTCCGTTCTCTACCTCCCCTCTGTGGGTACCAGTGATTGAACTCAGGTCCTCAGCTTTGACAGTGGGCACCTTTACCTGCTGAGCCACCTTGCTGGTCCTGATACATCTAACACATCCCCAAACATCTAGTTATTTTAACCATGTGTAGAGCTTTCCATATCGATCCCTGAACTGCATGGGATATCATGTAGCAATACTGCTGTAAATATTCCACTCCATAAATATATGTACGACATTTGACTCATCTATTTTCTAATCAAGAGACATTTGATGGGTTCCTATTTCTTATAAAATCAAACATGTGCGCAATTAAAATGAATCCTGGTGTCCACAGGTACACAGTGTGATTCTTCTCTAGGCCATCAGCGTCCACA